TTACTAAAGTTTAGAAACTTTCTGAAGGAGAATAAAAAAACCTAAAAGGAAGGCCAAACTGTCATTGGGATCCCTAGAGACCAATTAATGAAAAGCAATTCACACTAAAGTATGTGTGGGTTCAATAAAAATGTATTGAACTTTAAAGTTAATGGAGCAAAAATTAAGATCAGAGTCTCCATTTTTTGGAAAGAACAGTTTCCTAAGTCATTTAATTAATGTTTTATCCTAGGGGAAAAAATTAGTCCCAGTATGATAGTAGCAAGAGATTTACCAAATTAGACACAGGGAAAAAGGCATGAAGGTCCTAAAAGGCTTTGTCTTAGCATTACTCTTTTGGAATTAGAGAAAAAAAATGTATTTTGATATATCTATTTTTTTTTACTTCTTAAGGCATGCAGTAAATATGAATAAATGGCTAAAAATTGCTACCAAATCATATACCTGTGCAAAGAGATTTGCTTCTATAAATCAAGCCTGGAAAAACCCTTCTGCTCTTGGCTCCATTTAACCAGAGTGAGATAGTCCGGAACTTATAAAAATAGATGCACAAAAATTGGTCAACATCCCAATTATTAATGTGAAAAGAACACCCAAAAATCAGTGATGGAAAAAATAAAAGTGAACAATATACTCAAGAACAAGCCTCTAATCATATATAGAAACAAACAACAATAAAAAATAACACAATATCAAATTCCTCTACCAAAACAGAAATATCTTAAGTCAACATTTTAATACTTGTGGCTACAAGGTCAAGAAGAGCACTGCCTTTGCACCAGTAGGGGGTGTATGAATTGATATCAGTTTCCTTGAAAGCAGTTTGCTATATTGTAAAGAACCTAGAAAATGTTCACTTCCTTTTGCCCAGTGATTCTTCATTAAAAAGGTTTGGCTAAGAAAATAATCAGAGATTTGTACATTTTTACTGATCGTCAGTGTGGCTTTATCTATGATAATTAATTCTGGAAACATCTTAATGTCATATGTTCAAATACCATACAGCTTTAGAGACTTGATTCTAAAGAGCTTAGAGATTACTTTTCAATGTAATATTAAGTGGAATTATAGTATAACTTTATTACCATACACAGATGACTTAAAGAACAGAAATTAACTTTCTCATAGTTCTGGAGCTAGAAGTCCAAGATCAAGGTGCCAGGTTAGTTGGTTTCTTGTGTGGACTCTCTTCCTGGCTGTTGATGACCACTTTCCCCTGTGTCCTTCTTCTAGGACAGGACACAGAGAAAACCAGCTTTCTGGTGTCTCTTCTTCTAAGGCCTTAATCCCATCATGAGGGTCCAAACCTCATGACCTAATTTATTGAATTCTTTTCCAAGAGTTCCATCACCAAATACCATCATATTGGAGGTGAGAGTGTCAACATATGAATTTTAGGGGCAGACATAATTTAGTACCTAGCAGTGAGATAAGAACTAATGTTTATCTTTCTACCTTGTGTGCATCTAGTCATTCCAGCACCATTGTTTCTTTTCCACATTGAATATCCTCTGCATATTATTTAAAAAATAAAAGGCTATATATACAGGTGTCTATTTTTGAACTCTTCATTCTTTTCAACTGAGTGTTAGGTGTACCCTTGTGTCATTACCACACTGTCCGTATTATTTTAGCTTTCTAGCAAGTCTTAAAATAGATAGTGGAAATCTATCAGATATGTTCTTTTCCAGATTGTTTTAGCTATTCTATAAAATTGTTTTGCAGTTTTATACATATTTTAAACAACTTGTCATTTACCTCAGAAAAGTCAATTGAAATTTTTACTGTGATTATATTGTCTATATATTGATTTAGAGAATTTTCATCTTACTATAGAGTCTTTGAATTAATGAATGAGATACATGTCTCCATTATTTTTGTATTCTTTAATTTTTCTTAGTTATAGTTTAGTTTTTAATGTATAACTCTTTAACATATTTTGTTAAATCAAAGTGTATATTTTATATCTTGATGACTGTATAAGAGGCAATTTCAAACATTTCCCTTCCAATTATTTATAGATTACATATACAATAAAATTTATTTTTGTATATTGATCTTATATGCGAAATCCAATTGCTAAATTCACTTCTAAATTCTAGTAGCTTTTCATTAAGATTCCTTTAGATTTTCCCCCTTTACTAATTTAAGGGTAAAGAAGTTTGACTTTTTCACAGGTAATAATATTGGAGTGTAAACTCATTCCAGACTTAAGCATGGTAAATTATAGAGTTCTTGTGTATCTGCTGCTTCTTCAATGAAAGAGGCACCTAGTATCCCATAAATTTTCCTTAATTACCAGGTAGTATGAAGACAGCCACTCAGTCTTCCCCTTGTCTGTACCACAATGTCTTGCTGCACCTTGTCCCATTTTCTCTTGGCCTCAAATTCCTGACTCAAGATGGATAACATGAACTTCCCATTCTAGACATTGAGTTTATAATGATCTCTTCAGCATTTGCATGCAAGCTTCTCCCAAGCTTTTCCCTTGGCTTCCCATGTTTTTGGCTAAGGATATATCTTAGCAGAGTTCTTTAGGAAGAGAACTCTTCAGACTTAAGTAGAAGCTTCAATCATGAAATTAGAAAGCAGAAAAATTACATAATTTCTGATAAAGAGTAGGAGTAATCAAGTCCAGCCTGTGTAGCTCAGTGATTGAGCATCAATCTATGAACCAAGAGGTCACAATTCCATTCCTGGTAAGGGTACATGCCTGGGTTGCAGTCCTGACCCCTAGTAGGGGGTGTGCAGGAGGCAGCTGATCAATGCTTCTCTCTCATCACTGATGTTTCTATTTCTTTCTCTCTCCCTATCTCTTCCACTCTGAAATCACTAAAAATATGTTTTTTTAAAGATTAGGAGTAATCAAGACTCTCCAGTGCCCACTATGTGACCATACTATATGTGATGTATGCTTCTTTATATTTACTAACTTACTCTTCTCATACACATCTATGAAGTAGAGATTATAATTCTCCCCAGGAAAGACAAAAACTGAAGGCCAGAAAGGTCAAATGGAGCAAGCTAAATTATTAATAATGACAGAGCTGTGATCTAAATCTAGTTTTCCTTGGTACCCAGGACACATAGCAGTGTAGGTGTCAACATACTTAATCGACATTAAGATACTTGTTCTTTACGTTTTCTGGCATACAATTACAAAAACAACAAAGAAAAAGTACTGCTAAACCAAATAACAAACAAAAATGAAAACCAAACCAAACCGAGAAAGCTTGAGGATTACGGGCCTTATCTATTTTGAAATATTTATATATTTTTTCATGTACTTTAAAATTATTAAAAATCATCAGAATCATAGAAAACCAATTAATATTGAGTGTTAGATAAGCCAAAATGCACATCAAATAATTTGATGTTTTGGTGAATAATATCAATTTTGAAACCTGTGGTGAGCCAGTATATCCCCCTTAAAGACTTTGAAGAAAAACTAATGTAGACAGATACAAATGCAGTGAAAATACAGGGCAACCACTTTAAAAGCAAAAATAACTACTTGTTTTTTTAAAATCCCAAGACACCTACTGAAATGAGGAAACAAAGTATTTCAATTGCTCTACATAAAAATAGGAAAATAGGAGTACCCAGGGAAAAGATGCAGGCAAGGAGGCCCTGGGGATATATTGCTAAGTGATGAAAAATAAAGCAATCTCTTTTTATATGTACATCCACTAACTTTTGAGGCCAGCTAAAAAATGTATCATAAATTTTATGTCAGACAATCTCAAATCTGTAATCCATTTTTCATAACTATATGATTTAAAAAAAAATAGTGTACATGTAGAAAAATATTCATTTTCTTACGAGGATTTTTATTTCCTAATAAGTATCTAGAATGTGATTATGGTTACACTGCCAGTATCTAGGCAGACAGTTGAGTGAACTCACAGCCGCTAAGTAAATACAAGATTGGAGGCTTTTCAAGAAATCAATGTGCTTCAGACTTTAATAATACCTTCGTGCAAAAGGTGCAAAAGGGCTCCAGACTCTTAAAATTACTTCTGCTCAGTTTTTTTCCCCTTGAAAATTTTAAAAGACATCTGGCCTACCCTAGATGGATATTAGTAGAATCTGACCTTGAGTAAGTACTTAACTGTTTTGTAAGAAAAATCTTATGTAATTAAAATTGCTATATCAAGTGCAACAAAACTTCACTGTAATTACTTTATAATACCATAAATTCATTTTCAGAATGTGATGAACCACATCTCCAGGGCGAGGTCTGGTACATAAAATGTCTCTCAGATACAATCTAAAACCCAGGTCTTGTCTTGGATACATGATAACAATATCACAAACACATTTTGTGATATTGCATAAACACACTGATTTAGTTGATTGAAACTCATGTCTAAACCTTGTCTGTGGATAAGTGATTGGGAAATAAGCATTCACTTCTGACATTTATGAATTACAACTGCTGTATGTGCCTTAATATACTAAGTTTAAAACCTGAATTACCCATTCCATAAATTATGGATTTGTCAACATGTGTTCAGTCATTCTGAATTAATATTTATACCTTACAAATGTTATTAACATAAACATTTGGATAAATATTGATTAACTTATTTTAAACCTAAAAAATATATTTAAACAATTTTATATAAAACTTTTCACAATTGTTTTATTTATAAGCACTCAGAAAATAATGCCAGCAAGGACATGCTGAATTTTATGTAAATTCTATTGTACTAAAAATATAGTAGGATACAATATATTATTATAATAATATTGCAAACTATATTGTACTATTAATATAATTATGCAACTAGTTTGATGCCAACCTAAGAGACGGAAATAATTTTGAGTAAGATAATTAACCTGACAAAAAATTAACACAATTTTATTCTGGAGAAATTATGTGTTTGGTGAATTCTAACCTTTATAAAAACAGTGGTCAGTCTGGACACTGTTAGACTGAACCTTTCCTTCAGCTTACCTGTCACCTCCTACACTTGGTTGCTGCCCTTAGAGCTTACCTTCCTGATTCAAAGGTGAACCACGTGGAGTCCCGCCCGTATCTCCTCAGGGAGCTGAGAGGCCACATCACCAGTTTGACCTTGGCGTTGTGGATATCCCAGAGATAGATATTCTCATGAGTGATCTGCATTGTGCATTCGCCGTAAATATCCAGATTTGGTGTAGGCATCAGGTACACATTGAACCGCTCTGAAAAGAAACAAAGAATTGAGAAAAGAGGCATGACTGTAGATGTCCTGGATTGATTTGTCTACCTGCCTACAGCCCTCAGAAAGTGGTCTCGTGTTCCTGGGGGACATCCATATTCACTGCAAAACACTACTTTCTTCCATACTACGTATAAAAAAAAAGAGCTCAAGTATTTTCAATGATCCATTAGCTCACTCATCCTACAACTTTTTGTTGCATGCATTCTCTATTAAATGATTAAATTATATGGTGGAGAAATGAGTGAGGGTAAAAAGCTAAGTGAATTTCAGCCCAATTGCTGCTTCCTATCTGCTTCTTCACACACCTCAAGTGGATATCATACACACAATTCCTAAGAGGAGTGTCTTATTTAATTTAAGCAAGAATGTACTCATATTTTACCTCTGTGGCATGAAGTATTCAATGCACGCTCAGACTAACTGTCAAAACACATTGCATTCACTGTCACTTTCAGCCCATGATAATCGCAGGTATTCATTATTGCCTTCTGCAGGACTTCATAATGTGGTTTTTGGTATGCAAATATAAAAATAGAGAATTGTTTCATTCCTGGATATTTTATACTTTAAAATCTGATTATTGGGCAATAATTGCAAATATAATTTTAAAACTTGTGTACATCTTAAAGGCTACCACAAAATTTTGCAGCCTCTAATTCCCAGTTAAATGCATTATATGCTCTTAATTTTGGAAAATAAGATTAGTTTGTAAGTTCCAGGAAGTAAAAACTTTAAGATAACCTACAAAGTGTCTTATAAAATATCCCTAGTTCCTACTCTTAGTTTAAAGTAAGTGATAAATATTGGTTAACTACGAATAAAATAAATATTGCCATAATAAATATGGTTTGCAAGAATTGAGGAATTATAAACAAATAATGATCATGATAACAAAAATTGTAAGAATTATTGGCAGATAAATCCGTGTGAGTTTAAATTTAATTATGAATAGTGCTTTAAAGGCAGTGCTGTTGAATTAATTATTTTGAAAGGGATAATGGTGCAGCTGCAGTTGGAAGAGGATTGATATGTTTAGGAATGTGCTATCATCCATCAGAATGCCTCAATTTAAACACTGACTGCTTGTACTGAGCTGGCATTGTCTGTATAATAGAAAGAATCTTTTCTGTGGCAGGTATTTTGCAGAATAACGATTTGTTGATGCAAAAAAAGACAGTAAAATTGGATTCTACATAAGTTAAATTTAATTTAAGCATGATCACTTGAAATTTAGTAACCATGTGAACAATAGTTATAACCAAGTGTCTAGGTATTTTTGACTAAAATAATCTAATAATTCAATTTTTTACTTAGATTATTGACCTATAAAACTAATATGTATATGATTTCACATTCACTTCCTAAAAACAAATTAAGATAAATTCTAAAAATGATAAATGAAGAAATAACACTGCCCTATTAATTATTTGCAATAAAAAGCACACACACATATTTATGAAATATATATTATAAATTCAAAATTTCTCATGTGAAACCAAGTAAGTTATGAACATTTAGCATTAAAAACATCACCCACATTCCTACTACAATTCCCACACCAATGGGTTTGACAAGTAGTATACAAAAGGGGCATGATCTCATATAAGAGTATAAATGAAACTTAGACCAAACAGAGTTACTCAGGAATATAGAAAGTGCCTGAACAGCAGTCTTCTTTTCTTTGGTCAAGACCCTTTGGATGAAGTTCAGCTTTTACATTTGGAACTAATGATACATCAATGGCATTTATTGTGGACAAGGAAAATATTTTTATGAAAGTAGAAATGAAAACATTCATCTAAATCCCTTTCTTTCCATCAATTCCAGAGTCTGAGGATAGCAACCAAAGAATCACCGCTAAGAAGTCAAGAAATAATGCTGCTTTCAAAATACTGAAATAAATGAACATCATTCACCAATTTTACTATGCTTAGGGCCACATTGACCCTTGATATTCACACCATAGTTTGATGTTAAAAAAAAAAAAAGATGTAAAAAAATAATTGTGACATTGAGTGGCCTTCAGGTAGATGCAACACGAAACATCAGAGGACTCAGGAGAACCATATTTTCCCTGAAATGTCTGTGTGCTCTAATGTTAGCAGATAAATCCAGCGATGGTGAAGACAGAGTCTAATCTTCACAGTGGACATGGGGGAAAGCTGGAGAATAATAAATAAGTGAATTTAATAAGATTCACCTACTATAGGGCTCTAGATCTTTACATGTAAACACAAAGTGATTGAGTAACTTGCCCCAAGGAGTCCTTCCAGAGCCAGCTCCAGGCAACAGAGTGCAGGTGAAAGGTACCTGTGGTGGCCCTTCCCCCCTTGCCTGCCTACAAATTTCTGTCTTCACACACTTTGTTACCTAGCAACTCAAGTTAACCCATTCTTGATAACCCCTCTTTTAATGTTATTTCTTGCATTTTTTGAAAAATTTATCCTAAAGTATTTTATTTACAATTTTTAAATATTCAAATCCATCCTCCCCTCATTTCCAAGAATTAGAGATTCAATTAAAAACTAGACTAATGTCATCCAGCAGGAAACTAGGCACATAAAGATGAGAGCAGTGCATCAATTATCTAGTAAATTATACTCTTTCCTATCCCATCATCATGGGAGAAAGGTTTCTGCACTTGCTGTGAATAATTTTCTTGATGCCCTTACGTAAAACGGGCTGTTGCTAAAATTCATTATGGTTTCCATTGGAAAGACCATTTCAATATGACAAAGTTAAAATTGGCTCCACTAAAGAGACTTAAAAAAATATTTATTGTTGAAAGTATTACATATATCTCTCCTTTTCCCCCATGGGCCACTCCCTCTACCCCCAGCACATGTTCCCATTCCCCCAACTGTCTGTATCCTTTGGTTATGCTTATATGTGTGCATACAAGTCCTTTGATTGATCTCTTACCTACACACCCCACCCTCACCCTCTCCTGTCTTCCCTCCGAGGCTTGACGGTCTGTTTGATGCTTCTATGACTCTGGATCTATTTTTGTTCATAAGTTTATGTTGTTAATTATACTCCACAAATAAGTAAGATAATGTGGTATTTATATTTCTCAGACTGACTTATTTTGCTTAGTATAATGCTCTCCAGGTCCATTGATGCGGTTGCAAATGGTAAGAGTTCTTTTTTATAGCAGCGTAGTATTTCATTGTGTAGATGCACCATAGTTTTCTATCAACTCATCTGCTGATGGGCATTTACGTTGTTTTAAAATCTTATCTTAGTTATTGTGAATTGAACATAGGGCTGCATATATCCTTTTTGGTGTTTCTTGTTTCTTGGGATATATTCCTAGAAGTGGGATTACTGGGTCAAATGGCAGTTCCATTTTTAGTTTTTTGAGGAAACTCCATAATGTCTTCCACAGAGGCTGCACCAATCTGCATTCTCACCAGCTGTGCTGAGGGTTCCTTTTTATCCACATCCTTGCCAGCACTTGGCATTTGTTGATTTGTTGATGATAGCCATTCTGACAGGTGTGATATGGTATCTCATTGTTGTTTTGGTTTGCATCTCTTGGATGATTAATTACTTTAAGCATGTTTTCATATGTCTCTTGGCTTTCTGTATGTCCACTTTCTAAAAGTCTCTATTTAGGTCCTTTGCCCATTTTTTTTATTGGCTTGTTTATCTTCCTTTTGTTAACTAGTATGAGTTCCCTATATGTTTTGGAGATTAAACCCTTATCAGATGTCACATTGGCAAATATGTTCTCCCATGCAGTGGGTGTTCTTGTTGTTTTGTTGATGGTGTCTTTTGTTGTGCAGAGTCCCACTTGTTTATTTTTCTCCTTAGTTTTCATTTTCCTAAGAGATGTATCAGTAAAGATACATACCCTGTTTCCCCGAAAATAAGACAGTGCCTTATAATAATTTTTGCTCCCAAAGATGCGCTAGGTCTTATTTTCGGGGGATGTCTTATTTTTCTATGAAGAAGAATACGGTACACATTTATTGTTAAATGAAAATAAAGGAAATTTATTACCTGTATATGGTACGGTAGTACAGTAGTTGTCAACACAAACCAGACAAACTGTGAATCCTACAGTATCAAGAATTTACTCATTTATTCAATGACAATCATGTCATCATCTTCTGGAACATCATCATTACAATCCAATTCCTGAATTTCCTGGTGAATTTCTTGTGACTCCATTTCTTTCAGAATCAGTGGACCAAATCTCTCATGGTTAGCCTAGGGGAGCCTTATTTTCGGGGGATGCCTTATATTTCACTCAGAAGGAAACCTGTAAGTAGGTCTTATTTTCAGAGGATGTCTTATTTTCGGGGAAACATGGTATTGCTACGACACATCTGATCTTTTGCTGCCTATGAATTCTTCTAATATTTTTATGGTTTTCCTAAAACTACTTTTTAAAATGTTTACCTTTGTGAAATAATTTTATCCGGCAGGTGTTTTGAACATCTCTCTAATCATGCCACTTTCACATTTATGAACCTACATTTGGTTTTTACTGCCTAGAGCACTGGTTTTCAGGCTTTTGTGGGCATCAAAATGACCTAAAGGGCCTGTTTTAACACAGATGGCTGGGCGTCCTTATGAGAAAATATAATTTTATTTTAAATGGCCAAAAACAGTTACAAGATAGGATATTTATTAAACTAATGTCCTATAAAGAATGTAGCTGAATTTTCAGTTACATCTGCAAGGGCATTGTTACATCAGGGCTAGATTGAGAGGTCCAATGGAGCAGACTGAACCTCAAAAGGCCGGGACACAGGGTTATGGTCACAACTCCAAGAACCGTCTTGAGGGAGCTACAAAACAAAGTTTAGTTAAATTGAATTGGACAAGACCTGGCGAGAAAGGGTCACTGTGCTCAGGAGAAATGGTCCAGGAAAAGGAACAGTGAAACCTCAGCCTATGTGTGTGCAAGACCGAATGGGTATTCAGCCCTGAGAAAGACCAAAGCTGCCTTTCTCCGATGCCGGCATTTTAAATAGGTCAAGTTTTGGGCAGGAACTGATCTATGTACATCGGTGAATTTGCCTGGCAGGTGGAGGTAAGTGGGAAAAGTCCTTCCTGCTGCAGCAAGAAGCAGAGGATCAGAGATGGGGTTTCTGACATGAAGCAAAACCACCTCTAGTAGGTAGAAATGAACAGAACACAAAGAGACAATGAGCTCTTCAGCCAGTTTCTTGACATTGGAGTCACAGTTTCCTATCAGTATTAAATGTTGCCATCACCAACCTGGTTTACTGTTTAATTTATCTAGATCTCTTTTAATTTCTCTCACTAATATTGAGTTTTCAGTGTAGAGATAGGGTTATATACTTTGCCAAGTTTATCTTTGAGTATGTGAATTTTGGATGATTTTATAAATGATATTTTTTTATATTTCACTTTGCAAATGTTTATTGTTTATTGTTAATATATGTGTAAATAGTATATAGCTTATAATATATAACACACATATATACATTTTTACATATTAACTTTTTTATTCTTTAACATCCCTGAATTTACTTAGTCTTAGTTGCTTCCTTATAAATTCCTTAGGGTATTCCAGGTACACAACCCTAACTTATTATTATTTTAAACCAATTTTTATGATGTTCTTTTCTTATAATATTACACAAATTAGGACCGTAAGTAGAATGCTGAATACAGGTGTTGAAAGAGGATGTGTTTGCTTATTTATAATCATAAGAAGGTAGCAGTCAGTATTTTACCTTCAAGAATGATAATTGATGTGCAATTGATGAATCAATTTTTCATTGATGTGCTTCATCAGTTTGAGAAAGTCTGCTTCTATTCCTAGGTTTAGAAAGTTATTTTCATAACTGCATATTGTATTTTAAAAACTGGGTGGCTTAAAACAACAGAAATTTAGTGTCTGGTGGTTCTAGATCCAGAAGTCTGACCTCGAGCTGTTGGCAGGGCTGTGTTCTCTACGAGGCTCCAGAGGGAGAATCCACCCTGGTCCCTTCTAGCTTCTGTGTTTGCCAGCAACCCACGTCCTGTAGATGTCTCAATCCCTTCACATGGCCATGTTCTCACCATGTATCTTCAGATCATCTTTTCTCTCTGCACGTCTGTTTCTGCCTCCAAATTTCCCCTTTTTATAAGGACACAATAATGTCATATTGGATTAGGGTTCATTCTAATGGACACATTTAAACTTGATTATCTCTGCAAAGATCATATTCCCAATCAGGTCACATTCTGAGGTCAATGTAGGTTATCTTAAGTACTACTAAAAGATGTGAAGATTCTGGAAGTTGTACACATTTAAAATGTATACTTAATGTACACTTTCTTGTGGCATTGTTATCCAATGTCTATGAATAAGTCTGTGTGTGTGTGCTTGTGTTTGTTTACTTTTGCCCATACCATATGAGACTCAGAGTCAATACAAAAGCAGCTGGAAGCATTAGATAAAGATGATTCTAGCAAAGATTTTAATCAATAACTTTTACCTCAGCAACACAAATTACACTTTAAAATTATTTGCACACAGTTTCATTCTTAGCTAGTCTCAGAATAAATAAGATCAAGCTGTCTGAAGAGTCGGAAAAACAGTAGAGGGAAAGTAACAATTTTGAATGTCCAAAACATGTGGTGGTCAACATATAATAATAAGTTAGGGTTGTGTACCTGGAATACCCTAAGGAATTTATAAAAAGCAACTGCACAGTGCATGTTTCCTTGAAGATAGGAGACCACAAACCACAATAATGTAATTTACTATTTCAATTCTGCACACATGTGCACCTCACTGCTCAAGAGAAACTGTAAATGAAATCCAAGCACATCCTATATAATAAAAACCTAATATGCTAAGTGTTCAGTCATCCATTCAACCATTCAAAGTATAATATGCTAGTGAATGCTAAGGCCACTCAACCACTCACTATGATGTGCAGTGACCACCAAGAGGCAGACGCTTCGACCAGTAGGTTAGCTTGCTGCTGGGGTCTAGACAATCAGGACTGAGTGACACAGGCTGGGCATGCCATGGAGCCTCCTCATGGTCCCTCCCCACAAGGGGCCAGATGCAGTGAGCTAAGCGGTAAGAACAGCGAGCAGGTGGGGGTAAGGAGTGAGGGGTCCCAGATTGCAAGAGGGTATAGACCGGGCTGAGGGACCCCCCTTCAGTGCACAAATTTCATCCATGGGGCCTCTAGTCATTAATAAAATAATATTTCTGATGAAGGGTAAATTCTATAATTTAATACTAACATGCCTTAAGGGAAGAAGACCAAATCTGTAATGATAAATATTTCATAAAAGATTTATTCCAATTTGTACATATTAATGACTCGTGTTTTAGGAAGTTAAGGATTTTGTTTATGTTCATAGGTTTTATGCGTGAAGATGCTGGAATAGTGACTGGAAGGCATAAAGGAGAGCTTTATGATTTCAGGTCTTCTCTCACATATATTCAGGAATTATTTTTTTGTTTTTACTTATGCTTAAAAACACTTTTGATTTTTAAAATTGAGCTAAGTAGGAGAGTTGGCTTTATTTGATACAACCTCACTTCACCATCATGACAGTTCCATGAGCAAGTATTAGTTCATCTTCACACTGAAATTAGGAAACTGAAATTAGGAGAGAATTACTTGTCTGTGGGAATAGCCTGCATTTATACTGTGGCCTGGAGATTACTCAGCAGGCTACATCTGCTTGTGCTTTTTATAAATAGCTCTGGCATTGAATTCCATGGTTGACCTAGCCTAAAAAAACCATATTAAAAATTTCCCTTTATATGCTAGACAAGTTACTTTGACATTATTATCAAGTTAGATTTAAAAATTACAGTAAACCAAAGAAGCACATTATCCATTTGGATGGAAACCATCTACAAACCCAATATTAAAATAAAAGCATACAATTCATAGTGAACAATCACACAATAATGCTTCCTCTCTTCTAGGCCTGACTTAGCGGCTTTCTTCGTATTTCTTTTATGTCATACTTGACGAATGTTAACAGCCAGAGTTTATTTATTTTTATTTTTTTCCCTTAAACTGAGCAGTATATGTCAGTGTGATTACGAACTTTTTGCACTTAGCACAGCTCTCAGAAAACGGACCAGAGACTTGAACTCCAAGAGAGTGGAAGGGAAACTGTGATATAAAGGCAGCTAGAAAAGTAGCCTGAGGAACGCCTTTGTGACCTTCTGAAAACTATTAACACAGGCAGTGTTTTGAGTCCATACGTGTTCATGATCAATCAGTGAGGAAAACTTGTTTTCCAGTTTAGCAACAAACAGAAAATAATGCTTTTTAATGAACTACAGGACAGTGATGGTGGTTAGAACATTATTAGTCATAACAAGATGACAGCCATTGAGTGTTATCATGATGCACGTCTACCTGTTCTGTCTAATTTATAAACCATGCATAAATCTAGGAAGTCTTTTTAATAATTAGTGTCAAGCTTTGCCAGTGTTAGTCAACCTTTTCAAATACTGGCCATTAAAAATTAGCAACACTGAAATGTTTCTATTTTCATACTGCTAGATCAATTGGTGGTGATGGTAATGATTTTTTAAAGATGAAGAAAAAGGAGCTTATTACATTACTCTGATTTCAGTATTTAGAGGTGCTAGGCAAGAACCTGCAGCCTACATTTTAAAGAGATGTCAGTCAAGCCCACTAAATTACAGAAGAGTAAACTTAGAAGTAAACTGTGTGTCGCATAAATCTCAATTTTCTTATACCCTGAGATTTCACCCACTGTACTTTTCGACTTATAGTTGCTATGGGATGAACTGTATCTCCCCACCCCCAACCTAAATTCATATATTGAAGCTCTAATTCTCCAAAGTTATAGTATTTAAAGATGGAATCTTTGGGGATAAATTTAGATGAAGTACTGAGGGTGGGGCCCTCATAATGGGATTAGTGCCTTTATATGAAGAAACTCAAGATAATTCTCTCTCTCTCTTCCTCTCTCTCTCTCTCTCTTCCCCCCCCCCCCCCCCCCTCTCTCTCTCTCTCTCTCCCTCCCTCCCTCCCTCCCTCCCTCTCCCCCCCCCCCCCCTCAGGATCACAGCAAGAAAGCAGTTGTCAGCAAGCCAGAAAAAGGGTTTCTACCAGACACCGACCCTGCTGGAATGTTAACTTTGGACTTCCAGCCTCCAGAAATTAACCCCTGTTGTTCAAGCCACCCAGTCTATGGCATTTTGTTATGGTAGTCTAGGCTAAAACGTTGTATTAGCCAAATTCCCTGAAATCAATTGATAAATAACACATTTAAGTCAAATTTGTTTATATAGACTCTAAAGTGCAGTAACTGTGAAAAAAGAAAATTTAAGAATGTTGTCCAGTCAAAACCTTATATACAGGGATTTAACTTATTAGTTCTTTATTTAGGTAAATGGCAATGTCACAAAGAAAGATGTCAGGAGACCTGGGTTATACATTAACATTATCTCTAGTTGCTATGCAATCTTGAGAGTCTCTTAAACAGCTTAGGTTGATCAGTTTACTTTCCTTGAAAAAATGATTGGTCTGAAACATTTCTGGGTTCCTTTTAATTTTCAAAGTTCTATGACGGCTAGTGTACTTGACAATGATGGAAGGCGACTCCCACTTACCATTCTGTTCTCGTTGCACTCCTGCTGCCAGAAGGTCAGGTTCCCCAAGGCTGATGTCATTCAGCCTGGTCCCCAGACACTCCATACAGAGATGCTTGCACCACTCCTCAGCCTCCAGCTCTGAAAATGACCACACACCATCAGAGTCAAGCAATGCTACACAGGAAAGAAGGGGGAACACTGCTTCCCGGACCATTTCCACAGGGAATTAGGGAATGTTAAAAATCTACCCTAAGAAAACAGAATCGCTTTCCTCAATGAGTGGGGAAAAAAATCCCCACAATTATTTCCCATTGCTTGACATTATATTTTAAGGTGATTTAAAATTATTTCAAAGCACTTTAACTCATTTACAAATAATAACACATAAAGTATTTGTTTACTATCCTATATATTTTAGATTGATTTGAGTTTTGAATGGAAATTCCTTAGAAAAAGTAATTAAGTGAAAATAAATACATGAATAGTTGACAATGTCAGACTAGATTAAGCAAGTGAAAGTTTTGCTCAATATGACACATTCCTGTGGGCTGAAAGTCTGATTGCCAAGTCAATCTGAGTTGCAATGCATCATAGATCAGCACAAGTATGTGACAGTTTTGGTGTTTGTTTGTTTTTAACAGCAGAAGTGGGATCTTCTTACTTTAAATATTTTGGGATAGACTACTACATTAATCCTCTTTAGCAAATGCCAGTTATCTGAGATGCTGATTAGAACAACCACTCTTTTTACTCCTAGTACGTCTCAATTTGCTTGAAATACTACAATGTCCGACCGAGTCTTGTTGTATCTAACACTTTCACAAACCCACATATAGTTGATTCTAATATAAACTTTGTGTAGGTGAGGTGACTAAAGGGTTAAATTTGTACCTGGGTCCCATAGCATATCATTTATCATTGGTCAGCACCACGACCAAATTGGAACCCAAGTCTTCCAGCTATTTTTAATATGCAGAGTTCTGAAAAAGAGTATGAGGTCCAAAATTTTGGGCCAAACTCCCAAAATCCCCTCCACAGAAACTGGTTGAAAACTCTCGACACCTGCCTGGAGAGAGACATTTCTGACTTTTCCATGTAGCACAAATCTATACCAGAACAGTTTAATATCAATTTCCTTCACATCTTTTCTTGCTCTCTGTGGATGACATTCCAACCTTTGTCTTGGCATTTTAAACTCCCCATGAAAAGTTATCTGTGACAGGTCTTCTTGACTCCATGGATTTAAATACCAACTGCTCTACTCCAGGTCAACACCATCCAGCCAGGGGAATGTTTTCTTCCTGTGCTAGTCACACTGCCTTAGCATCAAAAAAAGTTTGAACAGTGAGATGTCAAGGGAAATTTGTCATTCACTTTAAATTTTTTTTAAAAACAAACTTAAAAAATTTTGTATTGAATTTTAGAGAGGAATGGAGAGAGAGAGAGAGAGAGAGAGAGAGAGAGAGAGAGAGAGAGAGAGAGAGAGAGAGAGAGAGAGAATTAATCCTCTAGCAAATGCCAGTTATCTGAGAGAGAGAGTGAGTAGTGGAGGAATAAGACTGAACTGAGGAGGGTGTCCAGGGGCTGAGGTGGGAAGTCATGTCCAGGGCAGTGAGAGTGACCACATGTGAACAGCTAGGGAAGGTCCTAAGTTCACATAGTTAAATCAGTCAGCCCTCTACCCATTCTCTGCATGATTTTATCATATTTAGTTCAATTAGATCAGCCCAAAACTTCATCTCAAAACTATTAACCTTTGTAATCTGCATACTTGATCTAACAAGTTGAATTTGTTTAGGTATTATAAAAGTTTGCATAAATCTGCTTTTGATAGTCACCTTTCAAATAATGACAGCTTTACCTTATGCTTGTTCTTTCTATGTATTAAAGTCCTTTAATATTTTATTGTGTGTTATTTAGTCTCATCATTATTTAGTCATTGATTTTCTCTAAATTATCTTCTATATTTCAGCTTTCCATGTTATTTTTCTTACAAAAATGATATTAAATACAAATGGAATAAGATGAACCCATTGCATTTTAACTATTTGTTTTTCTATAGATTAAGTGCCTTTTTTGTTTGTTTGTTTGTTTCATCTTTCAAACTTCCATTTTGGTCTACACATAATTAAACTTTTTTTTAAATTAAAAAAAATATATATTTTATTGATTTTTTACAGAAAAGAAGGGAGAGAGATAGAGAGCTAGAAACGTCGATGAGAGAGAAACATCGACCAGTTGTCTCTTGCACACCCCCTACCGGGGATGTGCCCACAACCAAGGTACATGCCCTTGACCGGAATCGAACCTGGGACCTTTCAGCCCGCAGACCAACGCTCTACCACTGAGCCAAACAGGTTTCGGCTACACATAATTAAACTTCTTTATGGAGGATTAAAGGCCTAAAACATTCTACATCTTTTGCTGATTTTCTCTTCTTGATGGAAGTGCTTTTTCCATTAAGCTTTTTTTATTTTTTTTCCTTTTTTTTTTTTTCTGAAGAACTTACAGCTATGTTCAAATTATTAATTCAAGTAAGTGACTTTTTTCTCTAGGACAGAAACCCATGTAATGTTTTCATTATGCGGAGAATTAGCTAAATGGAGAAATTCAATAACGTCCAAAAGAAAAATGGAAACATAGTTGGAAATAACAAGACAAATGGAGAAGAGAGACCAAAACTAAATAAGTGAATTATGAGCTAAATGGGTTTATTGATTATAGGGAAAATAATTATCAGAAATGGGGAAAAATAGAAATAGACTCAACAGTGAATGGCTCCTTCCTGATTTTCCTTCCATCCCTTCTTCACAGAATCCTAGGGAGAGTATGGCTGTATCCCTTTGAATTAGAAGAGCCCTTTACATTGCAGACCCTTAATAGATGCCTACCTCTCTCTATAAAAGCCTAATATACAAATTGTCCTTGTGGGAGTTTAACCAAGAGACCAATCACTCACTATGGCATGCCCTGACCAACAGGGGCCAGCAGGAAATGAAGGAAGGCCCCAGCCAGCAGCTGGCAGCTGAGGAAGGGAGGCCCTGGACAATAGTTAAAAGGCCCCGATTGGCCCTGATCGCCGGCCAGGCCAAGGGATCATACCAGTGCATTAATTTTGTGCACCGGGCCTCTAGTTAATGAATAAATAATTACATTCAAGATGTGTTGCTTTCACTAAATGTAGACCATGTTAATAACATGAAAGTTAAATGACCCAAAATGGGCTACATTTGAAAACAGTGAACAATTTTCATCACATGTATAGAAAACAGACTCTCAGAATCATAGCAGAATTAAAAATAGCACCAAGTCACTTCTGTGCTAATTTAACATAAGATGCAGGCAAGACTTGTTTTGTGCACAGATAAGAAATTTTTATATTTACTCCTCAATGGATTTAGCATTTATTATTAATCTTGGGAAAGTTTAGGTAAAAATCATTTTGTTTTGTCTTCAGCAAAACCAGCAATTCTAAAGCACATAAAATTTTCCTATTATTGAGGGATAAACATTGTTTCTATATTTATTAAACTCTTCTTAAATGCATGCTTTCCTAGGAAGTGAAGAAAGTGTACTATTCCTTAATGAATACAGGGATCTTGCTATCGGCATTCAAAATTTGCAGAGTTATAAAAATATACACATTAGATGATGCTTTTCATTCTTGAAAGTTGGCACCCACTTGTTTATTCACTAGCCTAAGTTTATATTTTATGACTTTTCTTTTTCTCTCACTTATTCTTTTGGGAGACAAGAAACCACGTAAAACCTAGATTCTTGCTTCAGCAAAGATGGAAAGACTGTGTCTCTGTTTAGCAGGAAACAGAAAAAGTGCCTTTTCCAATGAAGTCAAATTGGAAAGATTGATCAGTTTTGAGAGAGGGGAGCTTTTAGTGTTTTTTTTTTCCAAGTAGAAAACATGGTTATTTCCTCTCCCCTAAGTGCCCTCTTTTGCTCCCTCCCACTTCCCTTCACACTTAATAATCCTTTAAAACTGATTTCAAGTATGACCTACTCAATTTAACTCCTTCAGTCCCATGTTTAGCTTTGACACCTTCCCTGTGTTTCCACTGCACTCTGGACATACTCATGGCCCCTGTGTATCACTGCCCTTTCAAACCAATATACTTATTAGTAAGACACTGGAGTGTGGGAAACCTACTCCATTTGGTCTCTCTAGACATTAGCTCTGTACCTAAATATGGAAACAAATAATGTGGAATGAATAAACGAACAGAAAGTTAAAGATGCATTCTAGGTCCAAGTGAAGATAATTTAGTCACTTGCTGGATGTTTTGAGGTCTCTATTGATCCCATTGAAGTGGAGATTGTGACTTTTGCTCTTCACAGCTGGCTCATCTAGATAAAAGAGGGCTGTCTGCTCCCTCACTACATTTCACCAGGTTTCTTTGGTTCATGTTTTTCTATTATATTTTTCTGTATCAACCAACTTTAGCTTAGATTATGGTGTGATAAAAAAAACAGCCATGCAATCTCAGAGGATTTCTTTGATAAAAATGTTTATTTCTTGCTCCTGACCTTGTTGGATGCAGGTCAGCTTCAGCTATGCACCAGGTTTCCTTCTGTGGAAGGCTGGAGGAGCAGACTTTAGCCTAGTCTCAAGGTAAAGAGGGTCAAAACATAGACAGAACCAGCAGGGCCATTAACCTCAGATGTGGGACATGTCAATGCCTCCACATTCCACCGACAAAAGCACGTTTGTGGAAAAGAAGATTTCAATATTTGCCCAGAGCAAGGCAGGTAGTCACTGGGAACAGTCACAGGCTACCACATGGGACTCATCTATCCCCATCCCCTTTACTTTCCATCACTCTGGGTCCTTACTCTCTTGTGCATGTATCTCATAAGAAGTACTTTCTTTCTATTTTGGGTTTCCTTCTTCCTAAAGAATATATTTTTAGCACTTCTTTCTGTAATAGCATGGATTAATAAGTGTCCTTATTTTTTTTTATTTCTGAAAATGTCTTTCTACCTTCACCTCTCAGTGAGAATTTATTTTAATTGCTATTTTTCTCTAAAAATTGGAAAATATTTTTCTAGTGTCTTCTATTTATTGATGCCAATATTGAGTCATCTGTTCACCTGTCATTTCTTTCTAAAAGTTTCTGTTTTCTTTG